CCTAAGAGCCCTACCACATGAGTACACCATGCCAGGCAATAACTAGAAGGAAAGTCACCCTGAAAGATAAATGTTACCCTTCATTTACAGATGAACAAAGTGATTCATGGGGAAAATAGGACGCCTGCTTAAGAACCCACAACTACTAACTAGTAGAACCAGGTCCCTTCTCTTCTTCTCCAATTCCTACTCAGTATCAATGAAGGTCTGGTGGTGCGGTGGTTTAATGTTTGACTGTTAACTAAAAGGCAGACGATTTGAATGCACTAGCCTAAAAAAAACCCTGGTGATATGTTGCTATAAAGCTTACAGCCAAGGGAAGTCTATCAAGCAGTTCCACTCTGTTATATAGGGCTCCAGTGAGGAGACTTCTAAAGCCTGATTGCAGGCCCTTTGACCCTCAGCCTCATGGCTCTGGCCAGTGTTACAAAATGTCTTTAGTCCTGCCAGTTCTGGTGGCTTCCCTTCGTCCTCCAGCAAACTTGGGTGAAGGCCTCTGCCTCTGGTTCAGTGAGACCGCAGTCCCCAGTCAGCTCTGTCTCATGTTGGTCCCTAGCTCCACAGCGAACGTGCCGTCACTCTTGTGTAGATCTTGATCTGGCTGGCTCAGGAATCGCTAGCAGCACACTCCCTGTCCCCTTAAGGATAGACTTACAAACCCTATTTGCCTGTTCCTACCTAACCATGTGGCAGAGTCAAAGTCAATGGCTTCAAAAGTCATTTTGAACAGAAACACTTCACACCACAGAGAACAAATTGTTAACGGCAGCTAAAGCATGGATAGGAAGGTTAGAGGCTGGTTAGCCTAAGTCAGTGGTAGTGACATGACATGAAGAGAGATGGTTAGAGAGCTCTCACACTTCAAAGCTGAGGCATGTGGTTCAAATCCACCAGCTACTCCATGAGAGAAAGGTGGGAAATATTATCCTGTGTGATTTACTGCTTTTAAAAACCCACTAGAGAGTCCGCTATAAGTGAATTCCAACTCAATGGTTAGAACAACGGAGATGATTAGAATGGTGATACAATGTGAAGAATGTAATCAATTATATTTGATTGTACATGGAGAAATGGATAGAGTATGTTCTGCTATGTATATTTTAACCAAAATAAAGTAAAAATAATAAAGCAACCAAGAGTAAAAAAGAATGAAAAGAAGGATTCTTTGGGAATGTGTATATATACATGCTTCTCATTCCTTTTAAGTTACTGTGGTCCATGGAGGACCATACAGTACCCACTACAATAAATTGTTCATAGCAGATACTCAGTCCATGTAGTTAGGTAAGTGGATAAATCTCATGTGTCCATATCAACTCACTGGGCAGGCATGCAGTGAGTTCAGTACAGCATTAAAGAGAGCACCAGCCTTTTTACAGTCTCTTCTTTCCAACTTCTGGTTTTTTTCTTCATTCTGTGGCCCATGAATGTCTTCTTCTTGCCCCAGTTGAATGAACATAGCCACTGAATGGACACAAGGGTGCAGGGAGAAAGTTCTGTATAATACTATAACCATTTCTTCCCAGATGTTGAGTAGCTTGTCTTTCATAAGATATTTTATGTTCCAAAGAGGTGGTTAAGGAAAATGAACACCAAATAAATAACAAGACCCCAGATGGAGGTGGAATGCAGAGAGATTGCCAGTTCAACCTCAACGTCCCAGGGCACAGCACATCCAGCACGGCAATCTTAGCGAACAACTGGGCTTATCCCTCCCCTGGTGTCCTCCCTAACTAAATGGATTCCTGTGAAGTGTGACTGGACACTTGACCTAAGGAAATCCAATGACAGGGTCACTGAGGCCACCGAAGCATGAGTCTGCGTTTCTCAACTCAGTGTAACAGAATCTGAGCCGTGCCCATGGCCGGTGGGCCAGGAGGCCCTTTGGTAGCCAAGGGCACCACTAGGGCTTTAGAATAACAGCACACAGCTGTAATAGAACCCCGTCTCAGGACACTGAGCTAGTTAATCATCTCAATTACCCATCTTTTATTCATAAACACAAAGGAATGTCATTGGCTTTGGCCACTGACTTTGCCCTTTCAGGTTATATCAATATTATACCATTGCAATTTTTTCCTTATGTCACATAAAATGCACCAGGCAGTGTTAAAAGTATCTTTTCACCATAAAGGGTCACTTTTCCCCTGAGCCAGCATGAGAAGCACTAAGAGTTTAAGCAGAAGGCTTAAGTTGTTCTTTGAACCTCATTTACACTAAGTCCACAGACATATAAAACAACCAAGTAATCTGAGGTAAAAGTAGATCTTAGTCCCAGAGGGCCCTTTATCATTGCCTCAATTGTCCATTTTATTTCAGTCTTAAGGAGATTTCAGATGACAGGATTATCTGCTTTATTTTTAAATGTTAAAAACACAGCAAGAAATTCTTAGCAACAGCAAATCCATCAACATAAAAGTGGAGCCCACTCACAAGTCCCCACTAACACAATAAATGTACTCTTTTCAAAGGTTCAGTTTTCCTTCCTTAACAATAATTGAGTAGACAGACATGCAAATTATAGACCAAGGTTGCTTACTTGTCAATATTCCTGTTACTTCTGGCAAGAGTGGTATTTTACTCGTTACTCTGCTTCTGGACTCTAGCTTGTCACTTGTTCCTGGCTGCTGTGGAGTTATCTCCTGAACAGAGTTGCCCCACGGGCTTTAATCTTTATAGAGTAGATTGCCAGGCCTTTCTCCCTTGGAGCCAATGGGAAATCACTGCTGTTTCAGTGGATTTGGAGTCAGGCCTCTAGGGTTGGCAGTGTGGTTAGCTGTGTGGGTTTAATGACTCTCCCTGAGCATCTGTGTTCTCATCTGTAATACGTGAAGAGTAATACCAGCCTAGAGCATTGTTGTGATTAAATAAGTCAATGCATGCAAGATGTTTAACTGACCCATGTCACAAAGTCAGAATATGATAGCTGTTATTTACATTCAATTCTGAATTTAACTATGATTCATTGCTTTGGAAAGGATTGTGGGTCCTGGGGAGCCACAACTTTCACAAACACTCAACACCGTTGAGTCAGTTCTAACTCATAGTCACCCTCCATTGGGTTTCTGCAACTGTAAATCACAAAAGGAGGAGACTGCCCAGCTTTCTCGCAAGGAGCTTCTGGTAAATTTGAACTTCCATAGATGTAGCCATTTGGTTAGTGGCTCTATGGGCTGTGCCACCAGAGCTCCTTGATCTGACTTAATGTTAATATGTTTGTTGTTGCTGTGTCCCATTGAGCCAGAACCAACTCATAGCTGACCCTGCAGTGGGTTTTCAGAGGCTGTAAATCATAGGAGATTGCCCATCTGTCACGTCCAAATTCTGTGCACAATACCGTTTTGCCTCGTCCAAGCCCAGGTATCATGCTCATTACTTTAAACGTCAAATCCAAGGCAATTAACCAATGTCGGATGCTCAGACTCAGTGGCCAATTGGAAAATAAATTTAGAGAACCAAAGAGTTGCAAGGGGCTTAAATACCCCTTAATTCAGGTTTACGCAGACTGCAGGGAGGAGCCGTTACCGCAGGCCATTACCATGAGCCACCCAGGAAACTCTCCCACCAAGATCTTAGAGTTCTCAGAACAAAGGGGGGGGGGGCTCCCTGCCACATTTCACACACAGACCATGCAGTTACGTGCAAGCAGTGCACACGGACCCCTGCTCAGATCGCTCTCTGCGCCTGCGCAGTTAATGATGCAGCACAGCACTACTGCATTTGCTCAGACATGACTGCAGTCTGGCCGAAGCTGCTTACTCTATAGAGGGTACATTACAGGTTAGCACAAATCTGCCCTCTGGTATGCACAGCACAGTACAGTCCTTGACTCCATCTTTCTCTTGTGGAGCAATTTAATAAGGGATGCCTTCATAAGGGAAAAGAATACCTGCTCTCTCTCTCCCCCCCCTTTTAGTTTTGTTTTTAAAGTATTATAAATGACTTCCAAAGAGTGTGTGGATAGACTGTTGGCTGTCCCTGTAAGGAACCCTGCTCATGAAATGGTTAAGCATATGACTGGTAACCAAAGAAATCAACAGTTCAAATCTGCTCCCATTTCCACAGGAAGACAAGCTCCAATACAGATGTCAGCCTATGGAAACCCTTCAGTTGGTCACCACTTCATGTGGGGTTACTAGGAGTTAAGAGTCGACTTGGACACACAGAATCAAAGCAGGGATCTCTGCAGTCCCCGGGGTCCTCAAACTGTTTTCATTTTAAAATTGTTACACATTAAATAAAAATTAATGATCCTTTGCTATATATGAGAAAAATTTCCTGAGAACAGTGACAGAAACACAGGGAGATTTCAAAGAGTTCTAGCTGCAAAACTTTCCCAAAAAGAATACTGTTTCTGACCCACTACACCTGAGTAACCGTTTCCTACCAGGCAAAACTAACAACAGGAAGATTCTGGCTTTGTAAGGCCCTCCCTTTGAAGACATTTAAGGTCTAATCATTACAACTTCCTATGAGAAACTTTCTGCTAACTGCCTTTACAACCCCACGCTCAAGCTACTCCAAAGAGCTTTTTTTGGCACACTCCTTGTTTTCTCTGACAGCCAATGCTCAATAAACTCTGACAATTCTGACTCATTAATCACACATCTTCAATAAACTAGCATGCTATTTTGCTGCTTTGACTCTCATTCTTTTCCCCATGTAAGGTGGACTTTTCCAAAGATAACATGATATACCAGGCTGTTGTCACATCATCTAACAGATGTGTGCTTGTACCTCTTTGGGCTTTTGAAATATCTTAGATACAATTCATAATCTATTAAATGCCCACAGATATAATGGATATTTAGAGTTCCTCAATCATTCTTTTTTAAGGGGTAAAAAGAATCTTGAGACCAACAGGTTTGAGAATTTCTGCTAAACAGTCTCAAGTTAAAGGGACATTTAAAATTCAAAATCTGCACAGGAAACACACCAGAGCTTTGAGTCTGCTCTGAAAGGAAGCTGCTCAGTCCCTGTCTTATTGTTGTGTGTTTCAGGCTGTCTGAGTCCGACATTCCTGGTGAGGAATGGCTGTGGGATTACGAGAAGCACGGCCATCGACATTCCATGATCAGGAGAGTCAAGAGGTTCCTGAGTGCCCACGAACACCCCTCCAGCCCGAGGAGAAGAACCTTCGGGAGGCAGACCAGCGACAGCTCCGCGCTCTTCCCGCCAGGCACCCTCAGCCCAACCAGGGATCTGCTCGATGTGCCGCGGAGAAGCCCACAGAGGGCCTCCCCCACCCGGAGGCTGTCCTCTTCCCTGGAAGGGAGCCCCAAGCTGCATTCCAGCATGGGAGAGCTGTCCATGATCAGGGAAACCAGCCGAACAAGCACGCTGCAGAGCCTGACCCCACAGTCCAGTGTGAGAGCTTCTCCCACCAAAATGCCTCAGGTCCCCGAAGTACTGATCACGGCGGCAGAAACGCCAAGGCCCCAGTCAGATGGCCACCAGCATGATTCCAATGCTTCCCTCTTCAGCTACGAATTTACTGGGGTTCAATCAAGTGGTAGTGCGCAGCACGAAGACCCCACAAGTTCAATTCTGTCTGTGTCTCCTGGAGACCCCAGTCCCCAGACTGCCCCTGCCAAAGCTGAGAGAAATAGATTCAAATTTACTTTTGAGGAAGACCTTGATGATGATGATAAGTTCCTGAAAAGGTGGAGCCTCCCAGGGTTCCTGGAGTCCAGCCATACCTCCCTGGCAGGCCTAAATCCAGATCCTGTCAGCAATGAGCCTGCTCTCTTAATTGATACAGAAACTTCCTCAGAAAGTAGTGGAATCAACATTGTGGCCAGCCCTCAGTTCTCTCCGAGTATGTTACACTTAATGGAAAATGTGGAGGCCAAGGAAACAGATATCATAGAGTTGGCTAACTCACAAACTAAAGAGTCCCCCAAAGGGACGCCAGAAAGTTCCCGGACTTCGTCTTAGATTAAGATTCTTGTCTCCTAAAAGTTTAGCATCAGTCCTGGAACACCACTTGGCCACTGGGGCTGGTCAAGATGAGATTTTTTGGTTTTTTTCCAGTTATCATATGGTAGGAGCTTCTTAAAATGCTGAAGGTATTATGATCCTGACTTTCTAAAAACTAAGAAAATCAGCTACATTCATGTCATCCATCACAATGTAGCTCTCTTGGTAAATACACAGACCACAGTGATGTATCTTGGCCAAATAAGGAATCTTAAAAATATGCCCATGATATATATTCATAAATTGTTGGTTAGATTTTAAAAGAATCTTATACGTTGTATGTAGTCCAGCCTCCTTGTTTCTTCAACAAGGAAGCTACCTGAGACAAAGGCAAAAAGTATCCTCAGTATTTTTTTTCTTCAAAATATTTTTTTTCTTTTTCTTTTTTACAACTATGAAGACAGGGAGATGGATCAGATAAGCCTTTCCAAAACATGATTATTTGAGGCTTTCTGATCCACTAACTTCTACTTTCAATACCTATTTATCATTTCTTAATTCTTAACCTTCCTCAGCAGCAGAAGACTTCACTTTTCTTCAGTTTCCTCCTCTACTTTCAAGTCTTCATATTTCCCTTTCCCCGTCATACCCTCATCATGTGTCTCTTCCTTTCTTCCTAGCCTTGCTCCTTTACTCATAACTAATAGCTACATTATTTTCTCTTGCCAGCTCAATTGCTTGCTGCTTCTTATGCTTTTTTAACAAGTCATTCACAAGGTCTCCTACAGCATAACAGCATAATCAAAACTGTCTGCAAACCTGACTTTGCACACTCCCAGCCTGGCCAGGGAAGTACTGTGGGAGTCAGTGGTGTCCTGTGACACCCTCAGCAGCCACTGCCACTTCTTATGCTTCCACTCTTGAACACTGGAGAAAATGAAACCAAGAGGACCCAAAATATATCAAGCCAAACGCTATGGAACCAAAGGATAGCACACCTTCAGTTTGTTTAACTCCAAATCTTAAGCAAATATCCCACTTAAGTCACAACATGGGACCAGTTAACTGTGTCTACCTGTCTGTCTGGCTCAAGGTAGGATACACACTGGAGTGAGGAGGTTAAGGGGGTCCAGGACTGCATCACTGGGGTGAGTCACTAACTCCTTCCCAGAAGCTCTTGGGTTAGCAGTTAGTTTGAGGATCCCCAGCTTTTTCTGAAGCACCATGTCTTACGAATGCTGCTCTCACTATCTCTGTCATAAGATAAAGTTTGAGTGCGTATTACTTAATAAAATCGTAGCCGCCGATACTGGGCATTCAATACTCACTCTGTTCCAGGGGCAGCATATAAAGTTCACTGATAATCTCACTCGTCCTCATGGGAATTTTACTAGGTGAATATGACAACATTTGAAAGATGAAGAGAAACAGAGGCTTTGGAGAAAATAATTTATCTAAAATCACAGAAACATACTAGAATTCAGAGTCAATCCTTGGTGAATCTGACTAGAGTCCACATTCCTAATCTCCCTCTCTGTTGTGTAAGGCCCTGAATCTGCCAGCAATTGCCCAGAATTCCAGCTGCAGTGCCACGAGAGCCTTGTCCCATCAAGTCACAAGTGCATTATAAACCTCTCCAGCTCTGGAGACCTCTGTGGGTCCTCCCGGCTTAGGTATACCAGTGAGTCTTTATGCATTCATGCAGGAGGGCAGAGCTCCAGCTCTGAGGCCCAGGTATGAGTCTCTTCATTGTAGAATAAAGTTGGAGAAACTACTTAGTACAATTTTACAAGACTTCCTAACCATTTGGGCACCACTGAGCATGATGGAAACAACATTTACATTTACTGTCTTCACTCAAGGGGCTAAAATGGGATAAACCTTAAAAAAAATACTATACACTGATGGTTCTCTAGGAGGGTCATAGGATTAGCCCCTGGGAGAACAGATCTTTCCGAAGCATTATATGCAGACTATAGAATCAAGCCCTAATACAACACTTTTCTTCCTTTCTTTTTATTGTTGTTTTGTTTCCTAATGTAACATTTCTAGAAGGCAGAAACTCTAACCTTTTTCAGGCACCAACCTCTTGATGCTATTTTCTTAGATAGTTCAACCTCTTACTTCAAGTACATTTTTACTTAGCTACTTGTGAAAGGCAGTAATTTTTTGCCCTGAAGTCCAAGGTGATGAATTATACACAAATAGAACCACACATTTTGAAGAGAACTAAGATACTATTCATTATCTGTGTTTTCATTTTTATGTATTTATTATCGTGGAGCTCTGATGGTGTAGTCTACAGGGAATTGTTCTTCTAGCCCAAAGATAGCAACTCTCTGGTGGTTCAAATCCACCAGCAGTTCTGTGAGAGGAAGATGGACAGTTTCCTGTGTGCCATTTACAGCATCCAAAACTCACTTGAGGGTCAGCTAGGAGTTGGTTCCATCTCGACTGCAATGAGTGAGTTTTCAGCCATGCCTTGTGCACCTCTGTCCTTGTTATCGGGTGCTGTTGAGGCTACAACTCATTGAGACCCTATGAACAACAAAGCTGAATACTGTCCTATCCCGTGCCGTCCTCACAATCCCTAGCACACTCAAGTGCATTACTACAGTCACTGTGTCACTCCACCTGGCCAAGGGTCTCTTCACTGTCTCTCCACTTTTCTAAGCATGCTGTCCCTCTCCCAGGAATAACCTCTCCTAGCAACATGCCCAAAGTATGTGAGACGAAGCTTTATCATCTTTACCTCTGAGGAGCACTCTGGCTGCTTCTTTTCCAAGACATAGCTGTTTGTCCTCTGTGCATTGGACTGCTTAATTTCTTCAATATTCCTTCAAAATCTAAGGTCTACTTCTCACCTTTGTCTTGTTCTGAAAAGAGTAATGAGCCATTTAGGGATCATGTGTTATTGAATTCATCTATAAGTTGAAGACAGCAATGGCCCCCAGAGCATGTGAAAAGAAAATCTGTATTCATTCTAAAATGAAGGGTATACGTTGGCAAGTGTTTGATTGTTTTACCCAGTGGAGTCAAAGTTTGCAAACACAAAAATTTCTCCTTTACTTGATTTCATTGCCTGCTTAACCCTGAGTGCTGAAACTTCTACCACCTGAACAAATGGCTGTCAATGCTGAGGGTGGCCTCAGCTGTTCCCCATATAATGGAATCCTCAGTCCAGACAGCTTAAACTCTATATATTGTATTTTCTCCCCTCTTATGTGCAGAGATATCTCTGCCATGATACTGGGACTGAGTGCTCAGTGAGGTAAAGGCCTACTAACTTTTACTCTGCAATACAAGACATTAGGGATGACTTTGTTGTTGTTGTTGTTAAAGTGCCTCCTCTGACAAAATTAAGAAAGCTGCTCTTTCCTTTCTATTGACTTCTTCCCCCACGCCCCATTGACTTCTTGACACATCACCTCCACCATTCCAGGCTCCGGTATCCACTCAGGCTAATCTATAGGAAGCTTGGGGTTTGTTTGTTGTTGTTTTTTTTTCTTGGAGTGTAGAATTTTAAAACTTACTTTCCGTTTAAAGACTCGACTCACTTTCACAGGCTTCAATGTGTTTCATTGCTTCCTGTAACTTCCTCCGTCTCCAGAGAATTGACTCCATCCTCAGTCATGTTTCTGAGACCTCACTGTCACAAAATCTCCTCTCAGAGTCTGCGTAGCGAGGCAGCCACAAGACTTTGTGGCCTAAAACTTCTACAAAATCAGAATGTGAAAGTCTCTGTTAGTAATTTTATGAACTTTAACAAGTCACGCGAATCTCATCTTGGCATCTGGAAGATGGGCTGGCCTTGGACTCTCTCCCTGCTGATGGCTGCCTGAGGAGTCAGGGGGTAGTTTGTGTGAAAAGGCTGAGAGCCTCACTGAGCGTCACATGGATGACAGATGATTGGGATTTGCCGCTCGCGTGGAGTCACGAGAATTTCACTAATAGGACCACACCTGCTCCTTGCTCAACAACCATCTCATTGGCCGACGTGTTACATCTATGGCAATAGTGAAAAGATCTACTGTGTAGTTTGTGCTTTAATAGCAAATGTCTGGGAGTAATAAATGCCAGAGTACAAGGGAGACTAACACTGGCTTTGTTGGTTAAGATCATGTGTCATCTTGGCAGGGCCGTGATTCTCAGTGGTTTAGCATTTGTGTAATGATGTGATTTATTTAGCAGTCATAAAATGATAAAAGTTGTGAGTTATGTACTAATGTACTTAGGCCTTTATGAAATAATATAGCCATTCTCCATTTTGAAATCTGATGTGCTCATCTTCCAATTTTGTGTAAAACCAGTTTTCATCTGACTACCTAACCTTTTCTTGGCTAATTCCTTAGAGAAGAGGACCAGGGAAAGGTGGGGGGTGGTGACACAGTGACTGCAGCATCGGGCTCGAGTGTGTCAGAGATTGTGAGGCTGGCACCGAGAGGACGGAGTTCGGATCTGTTGTTCATAGGCTCGCTTTGTTGTACTCAACTCGATGGCACCTAACAACAACCACTTGATCTTTCTGGTGACCTAGTAGTAAGGAGTTGCTCTACCAGCTCAAAGACAGGTGGTTCAAATTCACCAGCGGCTCCACAGGAAGAAAGATGAGCATCACCTCTTGTGTGATTAACACCCACTGAAAACCCACTGGAGGCTCAACCATGCATTGGTTCCGACTCAAAGGTACATGCCAACAACCTAATCTTCAGGGAGCTCTGGTGGTGGCCTCCTGATGAAGAGTGGTGCGGCCAAGTTAGGGGCGGGCAATTCAAATCCACCAGCTGCTCCATGAGGGGGAGATGGGCAGTCTCCTCCCGTGCAATTTACTGCCACTGGAGGATCAGCTATGAGTTGGTTCCAATTCAACAGCACATAACAAAAATGAGAACCTAATCTTCAGAACCAAACCATGGCCATAGTGAAGAGTGAGTGTACTTCCTATCTTTAGTCATCAGCTCTTCAAACTCAAGATATTATGCAGGATTCTAATCTTTCTTCAGTCAGAAAAATTTCAT